AGAGAGACGAGCAGAGGAGAGAAGGCTGGTTCCACTAATCCTTTCTCCTGTCTCCAGTCGATGAAAATGGTTTCTGTCCTGCTGTCAGTTCACATGCCTCCGACATCCACTGTAATAATGGAGAATGTTAACTAATTTGAATCTAAATCTGGTGATAGATGGTCATGCTGATTTTTAGAACAGCTCATTCATGTCCAGGAGAACCAAAGCTTGACGAATTGTACAAAAATTCAAATGACTCTGAGACTAACCAATCAAATGAGTTCAGACCTTTTCATTTTATCTTGTTGTTGTAGTGCCACTCAGAGATGATGAAGAAGAAATAGTGTGTACTTAAAATGGCCTCCGCAAATGCTTTTATTAGAAAGGACCTCAAGTGGTAATTATATATATATATATATATATATATATATATATATATATATATGACTTAACTATAAAATATTAAAAAAGTAAAAGTAGCTGAATGTAGCTTAGCTTCACTGGGGGGTAGCTTCTGTGTAGTGAAGCTTCATTTAATGTAGAGTTGCTAGTAGTTTAGCTCACTACATTTTCCAAGTAGCTCGCCCAACGCTGGCTAAACTTAAACAAGGAGTTTAACCGTAGAGGAGGTCGATGACAGTTTGGACTTCTTATCTTTTTTTCAATGTCATGCTGGTTTATGTCCGATATTCCACTTGTAAAGATGAAAAAGCCTTTGGATCATCCAGTATTTACAAAATTTGGTGACTTATCAAATTCACAATATTGATACTTCAATCAGTCACCGTGTGATCAAAGAATCGTTAAGCAGATTATTATCTGAGCAGACATTTGACACCAACTTTCAGTAGAGTCCAGTCTTTGTTGCTCAGGTACGGAGACATTGACAAAGAGATGTACCTGCCACAGGAAGGAAGTAGTTCAATGTTGTAATAGAGCGACAGAATCTACGCCGCTGAAGTTAGCGTCTGATTCTGCATTTAGGGGAAAGTTAGAGGATCCTGATCATAAAGCACTGTGCCCAGAGTGGTCAGAACTGGACTAGATTGTCCCGGAGAGTTTATTCAAAACATAGTTTCAGTTTTGAAAAAGCTTTATTCTGTTTGTGAAAATGAAAAACAGATAACTTGCCCTTTTTTAAAATTTTCACAAACAGAATAAATGTTTCACAAATCTGAAACTGTTTTAAAGAAACCTCTCTGGGACAATCTATTCCACATTACACAGTTCTAGGCATAATGGGTTTTGATCTGGACCTGAGTTTCTGCCAATCGGAAGCTAACATTCAACATCGTACTGAGTCTGCAGAGGGCCAACAAAACAGTCGCTGCTTGTTGTTTGGAAATGGGAAACAGTCAGCAGTTGGTTTATTGTAACCATGTCGTCCTTTAAACTTAACCCCACATTTCCCCAAAACCTAAGGCCTAGTCCACACGGACACAGGTATTTTTATAACCAGAGTTTTTCCTCCTCCGTCCGCATGAAACCGCAAAGCCCCCGATTTTACTGTCTACACGACAGCACTGCAGCCGGCGTTTCTGAAAATCCTCACCCTGAAAAATGTTCGTTTTCAGTGACCTGATGCTGCGTAGAAAAAGTCACGTGTCTGTGTAGACAGGGCCTAAACCAAGCTGTGTTTGTGCCTGAACCTCACCAAACCTTAACCTATCAATTTTATTTAAATAGCACACTTAAAACAACCAAGGTTAACCAAGGCGCTTCACGGGTTAAAAAGGTACCATAGAACCATAGTCGTAAAATTTTCCAGTCTCGGAAGATATTTACAAATGATGTTGTCCTGCAGACGGTGGCGTTTACACGACAACTGAGATATTCTTTCATTTAATCTGTAAGATTTGTTCATACATTACTTCAGAATAACTGTTGTCATGATCCTGAAAGTGTTATGTAAGATGGGGGAAGATGGAGCATGAGAAATGAGAGCTGACAACATCTCGTGTGATACCGTCATCTTCACAGTATGTTGAGAGGCTCAGACACGGAGGGTCGCTGCAGGGTGGTGCATCTTCAAGCCTTCCAGTGTCCTCGAGCGGAGGTAGGCGGAAGAGACCTCAGAGGGCCAAAGTGTGCGCTCATGTACAGATACAATTTTCCCTCGCAGCGTTGTCTTCAGTTGTCAAGGCGACGGAATATTTTCACCCCACGCCGCCTAAACCCTGCCGTTCTTCCATCGAATCAAACCGGCCCCTCCTCTCCCCGCTGCATCCTTCAGCCGTCGCTGATCAAACACACTTCCAGTCCCAAGGTCGAAACACAACGTCATCCGTGCTTCAGTCTGCAGCAGGTAGTGGCTTCTATATTAAAACCACCTGCTTTAATGCAACACTACAAGTCAAAAACAGAAAAGCATTCATCCTCCACCCACACATAGCACACACAAAAAACTGAGCAACTGTTGATTTTATTCATTGCAACTTTAATTTAATCAATATGTTCATGTTAAATGAGTGGGTTGACATGAGGAACACACAGTACTTGTGCAGGAACAGGGTCCTTCAGAGTGATGGGTTACATCTCTCAGGCGTGTATCATCCATTAGCCCCGAGCTAAAGGTCAGATTATTGATAATTTCAGTCCAGTTGTCCTTTCCACATTTGAAAGAGATTTTCATCCTGTGTGATACGTTTCTAAATACCTCCATTATCTCTTTAGCATGAAGATCTCTCTGGTATGTAAAAATGAAAGGACAGGCCCAGAAAATGAAAGTCGTGCTGTTTTTCCTGCAATTCTCTCGCCACGACCTTCGGTCGCTATTTTTAGAATCGCTTTTCATTGTATTATTCCATCCTCTCGCCACACTCTTATTACCAATTGTATAGGGACGACGCTGAAGAGGCGGCTCAGAGCTAAGATAGTTTTATGTTAGTTTGATTCTTTCATCTTTATTTCTTAGATATTCTTTTCATTCTTTAGTAGATTGTGGTAAAATCTACAATAACAATTAGCCTTGGCTGCTGTTGCTATGAGAAGAAGCCAGTCAGACCGAAGGGATTTAAACTGCAGAAAGTTTGTCAAGTTTCTGTAATGGAAAGTAATCTAAAGCCTCAACAACAGAAAAGCTTTGTGATTGACTTCTCTACTTCAGTTTCTGTGTCCACAGACTTCTTGTACATTTGACTTTTTATCAAGGAACCAGATAATTTCTTACACAGCTGTTCGTCTTGTGTCCGTCCGGCCGTCGGTCACCTGGTCTTTACCTGCAGGAGCGCAGCACGTCTGAAATAACTCCAGCTTTGTGACGTTCTTCAGCCAGCTAGTCAGCGTTAGCTCAGTGTACTTCATCAAACTATCTCTGTCTTGAGTTGTCCGATGACGTTAACGGTGGCGCGTCGCAACCACAGGAATTCTTTCCGTCTCCACCATCACTTACAGAATAATAATTATTATAATAATATGACGATGACGTGAACGCAGCATAAAGGTTAGATTGATTGGAAACAACGCTGTCGTAACGGGATGAATTAAAAGAACCTGGAAAACAAATGTTGCGATGAATTCAAGACAGTTGAAAATGGCCATTTTAAAATAAATCATTCGACTTTGTGTGCACAAACAAGCTGCTCTCAGTGTACGCACATTTCCAAGAATAATACTCAGGAAGGTGGAAATAAACATGTTAATAAACTGTTGAATGCACACAGTACTAAACAATCACCCAGTTGTATTCCTCCTGCACAGCTGCTTCAATTTCACTTTTCAACCTGCGTGCTGAATGTGCGATCGTTAGCGGCCGTTTGGTGACAATATGCCTATGAAATCCCTGGCTTTGTGCAAGTGTTGATGCTGAAGGCGAAGGGAGGTCATTTGATTTAGACTTTCTTTCTGCTCACTCACTTTGCATTTAGTTACTCAATAAATATAATATTGAAGCTGCAGCTAACGATATTGTTAGTAATGTAATATTCTGCATATTATTTCAGGATAAATCCCTTACCGGGATCAGCTGTGTAACTCAGATCACTGTAAAAACTAACGAGTCGGACAACAACAACAACAACAACAACAACAAATGCATGTTTCCAGCTGGGAACTGAGCCTCTTACCTTTGCCTTCATCTCGATTAGCAATCATTTACGTTAGCTTGTTTGAGGCCCGCTCCGTGGACTCGATGCATAGACCAGGTCTTTCTGCTCAGATGCTGGCGCCGTGGTTCTGTTGCGGTCGGCTGGTTCGGTTTTACAGCAGACTCCCTACACAGAGCTGCTGTTTCCTGTCTTTTTCTCTTGCCTGTCTCTCCTTCATCCCTATCTCCAGTCTGTAATCCGCGCCATCAAATCACGTCGTGTTCGCTTGCCGCGCTGTGCGACAGTAATAATCGTCGGTGCGAACGAGTGCGCTGTTATATAGTTATATGGATTAATTTGCTTTTTAGTAATCAAGTTACTCCATAAAACGTTTCACACCGGCTCATAAATCTTGCACAGTACTGTGTGTGTGAGTGTGTGTAAATAAATAAATATATGAAATATAATATATATATTAATGGTTATACTGTATATAATCAAAAGAAGCAACTATTAAGAACAACACACAGTGAACATACAAGTCAAGCTGTTTCTGTAAATTGTAAACAAGAATATAATGTGAATAAATGAACGGGTAATGTAATAGGTTATGTGCAGTGTGTATATATAAATATTGTTATAAGGAAATAAATGAACTCATTTATTTCTAAAGGCCTCTTTCCCCTGTAAGAGAAATACCTCAGATAAATTGGAAAAAGATAAATTGATGTAACTGCGTCATTATGTGCGTTTCGCAGTGTGAATTAGTGAACGGATGAACGCTGCTCCTGAATCTGTGATGTTTGATTGAACAGATTGAACATTATAGCTTCCTCTATAAAAAGTGTGTCTGTGGACAGAAATGTATTTTTAGAGTGACAGTAATGAGTTTTCCTCAGAGACATTAGTGTGGAGAGGTATAGAGGTGGCATCTTATTGCTCTGCATGATCCTGCATAGAAAGTGATGATTTTCTCCTCTGTCCTCCCCCCAGAGCCTGGGAACCACGGGCCGATACGACACCAGGAAGAAGTAAGTGTCCTTTTATCCTCGCCGGAAGCAGCTGGATTCCTCCGACACTGAGTCACTGCACTCTCTGGAGCTTTCATGCTTTTAGAAGCGCTGACATTTTCCTTTTACGCTGCATTTTTACTCATTCTGTGTGTTCTGCTCTTTGTCACCGAAATGCTCAACTGGAATATTTCCCGGAGCTGTGAGCAATAAGTCGTGATTTAATAAAACAGGAGGCGCGACCTCTCCTGTATTTCTTTGAGGGACTGATCCGAGGAACCAGATTATGTCAGTGTTCTTATTGTTTTTCATTTTCGCTCAGTGAAATCAAATAGAAGGAGTATTTTTAGCTGAAGAAAGAAACTAAAGCTGTTCGGTTGAATCAGACTCATCTTCATTTTCCCCTTTGGTACCATTGGTTTGGGTCAAAACAAAAACAACCACACTGTGTGGTGAGAACGTGATCTAACTTCAGTCAGGCGCTGGGATGTGGATGAGTGAAATCAGCAGTTAGATGGAGCATGACCTCAAGTCTGACCTTGACTAGCTTCTTCAGGACCGTCTTCCTGTGTTTACTTTCTCGCTCGCCAATGAGTTGCAGTGGATTTTAAAGATGCATTGTGGTTCTCTTTAACTCTTGTTTCTGTGTGAAAAGAAACTGAACCAGGTGAGAAAATAGAACATGAGCAACAGTAAAAAGAGGTGAAAGTTTAAAACATCTAAAGGTGATACACTGAAATGTGTCTATAACAGGAATATGAAGACAGTGCAAATTTTATATATATATATATATATATAAAGATATTAGTGTAGGCGTGACCCCTATCTGTCATATCAGCTAGATCATCAATGGAAAAGTCCTAGAAGGTGATCTCAAGAAAAGAGTGGGAACCCTGACGACAAATCATCCCTTATTTGTCCTGTTTTTACTATTTATGATGGACGAGGTTGACTTTCAGGCTGGACTGATATTTTCTTTCCTTGTTCTGGATCAAATGAACTGAACTTCAGGTAAGAAAGAGACCCAGGTTGACAGCTAAACTACACCTGTTTGAACATTTCCCCACGTTGCTGTGAGCCCTGTGGAACCAGCAGTCAGCAGCACTGACTCTGGTTTCATCGCAGACTGCCTCTTAAAGTTCTTAGGATTTGTTTCAGACTTTACGAAGCAAAGAGAGGAATAGTCTTGACGACATCGCCTCCGAACGCAGCCAACCAAGCTGCTGAAAATGTCTTCCTACTTGACCCAACACCACCCGGTCTGGAAGTTACGTTTCAGTGTGCATCTCAGACCGGCTGCAGTCTCTGAGTTGTCTACAGAAAGCTGATGTTGAGGGGAAACCTAAACTGCTTTAATTCCTATCTGTCCCTGCAGATCTGACTGTCAGTCAACGTATAGCCCGGTCCCGATGAACGAAACGAGCTGTCACACTTGGCTGTAACGTCTTTTTGCATGTTGTCAAGGGAGCTAGCAATGTTTGAGCTTTTGGTTGTTTGTGCCTGAGGCTGCACAGAGATCACTGTGTGACTGACTGGTCATGATGCTTCACAGTCCTAGGTGTTGACTTTTGACCCCTGTGAATTCAGAAAGGTCAGAGACATGTTTGATTTGAGTTTGACCAAAAGATACTTTCAGTACTCAGTGTATTAGTTTTGTCTTGTGTTACTGATTAGTTGTGAGGCTGGAGCTCAGAGTTTCAGAGTCAGAAAACTTCCCAGACGTCGCTGACTAGTTTCTGTTCTATAATCAGCTCTCATGTCTGACGCTTTCATTTGATCAGAACGCAATTCTGATAAAATGCATTTAGTTTTCAGACAGAAGGAAAGGCAAGTTTATTTGTATAGCAGATTTCAACAACGGGGTAATTCAAAGTGCTTTGCATAAAACATAGAAATGTTTTCAAAGAGTTAAATAGAAAATAAAAACAGGCAGGTCTTTCACCTTTGTTTCCCCGTCTCCGGGGAGAAACCTTTAAAATATTTAAATTCAAATATATTTTGGTAGATGAGTGCATCAGTGACAATAAACAAACTTCCTCAGCTAAACATCTTCATTTTCCCATAAATTTACAACCTTTTTTCACTGTTCATATGCAATAACAATGCCACAACAATTATTATTTTAACACTAGTAGTGTTTTTGTGGGATTCAAATCACCACTGCTGAACGAGACCAGGTCAGGCCTGAGCTGAAAAGCTTCAGTCGCAAAATACTGTCAACTTCAATAGTTACCAATGCTCACACATAAGCTAACATACACACTCAGATAAAAAAATATAATCAAAACCCACTACGCAGTCCCATAAAGTAGAGCAGTGTGTCCTCACCTTCAACTCTCCCTGCTCAGCTGCCTCTGTCTGGACTGATTGTACATCAGTTATAAATCTGACTAATCCATTTTCTAATTCTACGTATGCATAATATGATTGGCTACCCAGCCCTGCGCACTGCCCCTGTCATCGTTTCACCACGATCGGTTACTTTGGATGCATAAATTTTTTTTATCCATAATTTATTAATAAAAATAAATGCGTTATTTTGACAACCCTAATAATAATATAAGCTGCTAACATCTTTATGTTAAAGCACATTTGATTTGGTTTTCATATGTCTACATAAGGTATTGGCTGTTATTATTTTAATGTTCATACAAACAAAAAGTAATTTTATTTGTGGTTTTTAATATAATACTTGGTTAAATGGTTTTAAGTGTGTGTTTCAGTACATTTTGACACTGATAACTGTGGTAATTTTGGTGGTAGTTTCATCTCTAGAGCTGATCAACACTTGACGGTAGACAGTAGCTGCTGCTGTGGGACGAAGGGAAGGCAGCGGATGTTACTGTATGATCCATTTCTATGGTGACAAGCAGCCCCGTGTCCCTGTTACACCACTGAACACGCCCGAAGTCACGGCCTTTTAAATCACTCGCTCTCTATAATAGTACTTTTACCGAGTACTTCCTCCCCCTCTCTGTCTATCAGGGTTAACAAACATTAATCGTTATATTTAATCTTAATAAGGAACACAGCCTGACTCTGCTGTTACCTGCTGAGCCTCCTCTTTTAGGCAGGTGCCTTGTGGGTAACCTGACGCAGACCAGCAGGTTTTTGTCGAATCTCTCCAGTGAAATAAAAAAGAGGACATTTCTGGTTCGACCCTCTTTCAGTTGAGCGTTGAGTCCGACAGAGTTACGGGAGTGTGAGTTGGTGTCTTTATTTGTGGGATGGCGGGGCAGAGTGTACGTATCAATGCTTTATAGAAAGGTCAGTCTGTTGCGGCTCCTGTGTTTTACATTTGGAAGTAGAATACACTGCAGTTTAAAAGCTCCCGTCTGTCGGTACCTTCGAACATCTTCAGGAGAATCCGTCACTCGGTCTGCTCGCTGTAGAGTCGAGACAGGTCTTTGCTGCGGGTAGGAGGACGGCTGAAGAGGCTGAAAAACTGGTGGATGTGATGTTAACCAGTGTGTGAAACTCGTGTAATCTGATTAATGCTTTACCCTGTGCTGTGAGGGAAGTTAAAACCCAGTTCAAATCTAAACATTTAAACTGCCAACACAGCGTCCTCCTCCCGAAAGACCTAAATCAGGAGGGTCCCCGACCTTGGATTCATCTTTGACCCTACCCTCTCTTCTTGCCCCACGTCAGCCAGGTCACTTTGTCTTTTACTGCTGCAGAAATTCTCATCCATGGCTTCACCACTTACAGACTCGACTACTGGAACATGGGGCGATAACCACAAAATTGAAATGCCACGCAGAGGATGGCGAGCAGCGCAGTAACCACTATGTTCATTCTTTACACTTCCACAAGCAGGACGAGCTGTGTAACGGTTCAGAACGGATCACGTGGGCTGTACGTGACCTGACTTTAGAATTGGACGCTGCAAGTGTTGCCCTGTTATTTTGTAGGTTAGCTAACTTGGCGTTAGCATATTGCGCAGCTAATGTTAGGGAGTCAAGGTTCAACTGTGTGAACGGTAAGCCTCGTTGGAAGCTGACTAACTAACGAGCGTAGTGTGTCGGACGCCTGCAGCTGATCTTCACGTTACTTTCTGTGGAACTTAAGGAAAATGACTTCACTTACGGTTCACCTAACAAAATAATAAACTTAAGTACGTCCAGAACTCCGCTCCCCGCGTCCTCACTTCCTCGCATCGCTGCTCCCGGTTACTTACAGGATCCTCTTACCTTCTACTCATCACCTTCAAAGCCTTAAACACCCTGGCCCCTCCCTACCTCTCAGACCTCCTCCCCTGCTTCACCTCTGCACGTCGCCTCATCAGGCCGGTCTGATCATCAGGCTTAAAACGTGTCCTCACAAAGAGCAGCAGCACACACGCCATCAACAGTACGTATTCTCAAGGACCTACAGTCTGAGGCGGAACAGCTGCATGCCACTAAGTGTAGTTTGTGTGCGTTTGTGTGTGTGTGACTTACGACCTCTGTGTCTCCTGAGCTGTGTGAAACACTGATCTGAGCGCGCTCAGTGTGTTCGGTCTGTTCAGTTCACCCTGCTGAGCTCCAGAAACTCTTTTCATTCTGCTCAACAGACCCAGTCTGACACATTATCACACACCAACACTGTGGGCGTGGGCGTGTGTGTGTGTAATGGGAGTAGCTGAGGTTTTGCTCCACTGAAGCGAAGATGACGTTAAATTTATCGTCCGGAGGAGACAGACCGAGGACGGACCGACAGGCAGACGTGTGGGAGGTAGAAAAGAAAGAGACGGAGTAGTTTAAAGCAGAGTGAGGCAGAACTGTGTGTGTTCAGTGCTCTGCTTCTGCAGAACGTTAATACTTTATTGAAATTGCTTTTAAACCAGGGCTGAACGGTTTTGAAACGATATGTAATTGCGATACAGTTTACAATATTAGAGGGAAGAATATGACGTGTAATCTCTCCATCACAAACATGTTTTATTATAAAATATTGCCCCTCGTGTGATTTCGATAACATTGCAATTAATTGTCCTATTTCAAACTGTCTGCTGGGATTTTATTCTCAGATGGACGAAC